AGCAGAGTCTGGAAGATTCCTCACCTCCCCAGTTCATTTATTTGACGAGTATTTATTGAACACCAACTTAGAGCCAGGTACGGTGCTTGGCACTGGGTCCAGGGTGGAGAGCAAGCCACACATAGTCTCTGGGCCCACAGAGCTTACGTGCTGGTGGGGGAGATGATCAACCAAGAAGTAAACACACATGGATGTGCAATGGCAAGTGCCTTAGGGAGGGAAAGAATACGGGGCTTGGAGATTGATGAACTAACTATTCAAGCACAGAAGTCAAGGAAGCCTTCTCTGAGGAGGTGAGTTTAAGCCAAGGGTATAAAGAGCTCAGTCATGCAGAAGGTAGGGGAAGCGCATTTTGGGCACGGGAAGAGCATATGCCAAGTCCTGGAGGTGGGACCAGGCTGGAATGTTGAGGAAATGAAGGAAAGCCAGAGTGGCAGAAGCACAGTGAGCAAGATTGGAATTGGCTGGAAGTAAGGTTGGGACAAGAGGAAGAGCTTGCATTTTATCTTGGGAATAATAGGGTAATAGTGTAAGGGTTGGTATGATATGATTTGCATGTTTAAAGTTCTCTCTGGTTGCCTTGAGAACTGAGTGACAAAGCAAGACGGAAGCAAGATGACCTTGTGGAGGGCAGTGATCTGGGGGCAGGTGAAATGGCCAGACCAGGGTGATAGCTGGGGGCTTGGAGAGAAGTGGATGGACTCCAGAGATCTCAAGAAGTAGAATCTTTCAGAGGTTTTTAGAAGAACTAAAACAACTTTATTGGATGCCTGCTACAGCCCCAGCAAGGGGGTAGGAGTCGGGGACACCAGAAAGGCTTGGGAATAGAAACAAAAGATACAAATCCTCAACCACGAAAACAAATACATAGTCACCTTTCTCATTCACCATCTCTTGGGGAGAATGAACTCAAGATCAACTCAGATGCTGAAAGTTCTGGGCCATTTCCACCTCATTCGATGGTGTCAACAGATTCTCCTGGAATTGGGTCCTGGAAATGTGGAAATGGGTTTCCCATATTCTCAGGCTATGAAGTTGCCGAACTGCGGGACTGCAGCACTGACCTGGTACCCTAGGAGCAGGGAGCCGCCAGCTGGGATAGCCCGGGAGAGGAGGAGGAGGGGCGGGAGGAAGATTAGGAGCAGAAGCAGTTCTTTCTGCCCTCTGTGACGAAGATGAAGTTGGGCTCTTCCCTTTGTGACCTCCCTGTGCCCACCTCTCCCAACTCCTGGGAGCCTGCTGACTTGCCCTGCCCTCCCTGTCTGTCTCCGTCAGGAGCACCCCTGGCCGGTGACCCACTCCCTGGAATGCTGCCCTCGCTCCCCACAGCTGCACATCTCAGATGCATCCAGGAGGACAGAAATCTGATCGAACAAACACTGAGGACTGAAAGAATACATTAGCTCTTCATGCCTCCTGGAGGAATTTGCCTTTTCAAAAGAGATTTCTGGGTCGTTTAAATGATCTCTGCCCTCTGCCCCATTTCTCCAAAAGGGCCCTTTCCCCCAGGGTTTTAGCAAACTCTATGTCTGAGCCCAAGGATCTCCTCAATTTAGTCTCTGGGGGCAGTAGTTCCATCAAAGGGTGGGTTTGAAAGAATCTTCCCAGGGGTGACATTCGAAAGAAGTATTCACCAACCAGCGTGGGGGCCTGGGGGAAAGCCACATGGGGCAGCAGGGCATTTAGAGGCCCTTAAGGGAAGCAGATATTTGCCAACAAGCAGAGAAGTGGCTCTACGTTTTAACAGCGAGTTTGGCAACACGGGTCCAGCTGAACGTCAGTCCCGGGGCTGCCCCAGTCCTGTCTGGCCTCTGCTATTCTGCTGGGAATGGTGGCCACAGGCCATTTGATCCCTCCGTTAGAGGATGAGCGGCCAGGGCTGGAGCTGGGTCCTGAAATGGCCTCTGAGCAGAGCCAGCTGCGTGACATCCTGGGTGAACAGGATCTCAGGCCCTTGACCCGCCGTGTGACCGTGAAGGGCCCAGCCGCCTCTGACTGTCCTTCCTCTCGCCCCTCCTTGCAGTTATTTTTGTCCAGCTGACAGCGCTTGGCTGTCCCACAGTCTGGGCTCTGCGAGCCGGATGCAAACCAGGCAGCACAAACGTCTGGTGCTGAATCCCAAGAGGGCCCCTCCGGGGGCGCCATCACATGGGAACATGACCCTCCACGCTGTGCACCCAACAGGGACCAGGCATCTGGAGGATGGTGATGGTACGAGAAGCAGGGAGCTGGGCTCTCTGCTCAATCCTGGCTCTTGTCTGGGAGCGCTGTCCCAGGCCTGGTGGTAAGGACCCCCTGTTTTGTAGCCTTATTGCTGCCCAGAAACCTCCCATCTCCATGCAGGGAACTGGGGGTCAGCCGGAGTGTAGGTGTCTGCAGCAGGGAAGACCACCCGAGCAGGCCCTACTGGGCCCCTAACTGCCGGGCCTTGGCTGCGGTGGCAGGGGGGCCTCTCCTGTGGTTCACTGCAATGGGGTGGGCAGGGGCAGACGGGGGTTCCCCAGAGACCGCTTTGTGGCCCCTGCTCTGTTACTGTCTCCGGAAGTGAGGCAGACACTAAGTTCTGGCCCTGGGGGCCTGGGAAGGCTGCACCAGTCAATCACTGCTCAGGCTGGGTTCTGAACTCTCTAGGCAAGCAGCCGGCCTGAGGCCATTGTGCCTTTTAGGGTCAAGCTTAGTTCCCAGACGTTGGATTCATGCCTGCTGCCCCCAGGAAAGGGTCTGGGGAAAGCTTGTAGGGGCCCTCCCAGGGCTTATTTGTCCCAGGTAAGAAATGAGACCAGGCCTCTGAGATCAGAACAGCTCCAGGAGAGCTGGGTCTGCAAGCTGGGATGGGCAGTGAGGAGGGGAGATGGGCCAAAGGAGCAAGGGGCCTCTGATGGGTGAGGAAGATGCCTTTGCAGACAGATGAGCCAGGCCAGGAAGCAGGGCAGAAGACAGCACTGTTTTTAGAGCTCCTGGAAAAAGAACCCTCCTCGCTACTGGGGAAAAGCCAGCTCAGAAAGCCCCGATTTCAGTGATTTCGGAGACCCAGGAGTGGCAGAGCACGGCTCCTGCTGGCCTCCCAGCTGCCCCTGGGGAAGAGGGCCTGGGGGCAGGAACAGCCACATAAGCAGGGGACCCCACGATGCTGGGGGGCATGGGGGAAGAAGATCGTAGGAGGGGTGCCATGTGGCTGCTCCTGGCAGCCCTGATGCTGGGGGCCACGGGCAGGGGGACGGCTGGCCTCTCCAGGGGGCGGGCCCTCCGTGCGGAAGATGCCCCTCGACTGGGCAGCAAATTCCTGCGCGCTGGCAGGACGGCAGCAGCAGCTCTGCGCACAGGAGTGGTTCGGAGGGCCGGGATGGGGTAAGCGAGAGAGGAGGCGCTGGGGAGGATGGGACCAGGCACTCTTCCCAGGATGGTGAGCTGGTTGCTTGGGGCTGACAGCCCTGGACAGCTATGGAAGAAGGACCAGGGCCAGGCAGGGAAGGCCAGGGGGCCAGCGGGCGTGGGAGAAGGCTCCATCTCGGCTGCATAGCTGTTGAGGTGCGAGAGAAGACGAATCCGGACGGGGTCTGCACGGCTGCTCGGCCCTTCCAGGACCCCCAGGTACCTGATGACCTCGGTGAGGCACTCCCGAAAACCGATGCTCCGGAAGTCCACTGCCAAGGCTCGGGCATCAAAGAATCCTGCAAAGCAAGGCGTGATGAGGGTGTGTGCCAGGCGAGGGCCAAGTGCTGATCTGGGGTCAGACCTGTGTGACCTTGGGCATGCCACCTCACCTCTCTGAGTCCCAGTCTCCACATCTGTAAAGTGGGAATAATCACCCCTACCTGGGATAGAGGGGGGGGGGCACTGTGATGATCAAATGAGTTCACTGAACTACGAAGCATGATAAAATGTAGAGTACTGTTTTCATTGAAATTCACGATGAACGCAGAGAAGAAACTTGGCGACCAAGATAATGTCATTTAAGTGGACACTTGCCAGGCGTGAAAGACCTGTGCCCATGGGAGGTGGCGACCGCAGCCGTCAGGGCCGGGGGGGCCCCCCACAGAGAAGGCAGCATAGTGTCATACTGAAGCCTGAGGTCTCTGGAAGCCAGGAGAGCTGAGTTCAAATCCCAGCTCTGCCACTTAACTAGTGGCCTGACCACGGACAGGTCTCTTAATCTCTCTAAGCCTCAATTTCCTTGGCTGTAAAATGAGCACATAGTAATACTTACTGCACAGGACTGTGAGGGTGAAACTAAATGCAATGTTGCACAGAAATAGTCCATGAATTCAAAGTTAGCCATCATTTACACTTGACCCTTGAACAGCATGGGGATTAGGGGCACCGATCCTCCCCCAGCACAGTTGAACACCTGAGTAAACTTTTGACTCCCCGCCAAACTACTAGTAGTGAGAACCACCAGAGATCACTTTTACTGTGATAGCAATTTCCTGGAGAGAAGGACTGCTCTGGCAGAGATGATTAGTGCCACATGGGGTCTTAAGCAGATACTCGCAACCCTTGAGCTCACCACAAGGGCAACAGGAGGGGGCTAGGAAATTATTACTGGAGTACGGTATGTATATGCCACAGTTAACTTCATGCAGTTATGATTCTACTACATTTTTACATTTACATTTCTCCCCATTGCAAATGGCACCATGTGCAGTCTGAAAGGGTTTGTATGAGGAAGTTTTGCTAAATTTTAACTTCAGTAATGGATGTGTGTATATTTTATGGTAGTGAGTGATAAAACAGACTTGTATCTACATCTACGTTCTGCATTCATGACATACCTAACTTTTTCTTAATTTTTTCAATATTTCTAGGCTATGTGGTGTGTCTACAATTTTTTTTCAAACGGTTGCAAATCTCCAAAAATGTTTCCACTTAATGCAAAAACTCTGCATGGAAGTGAATCTGTACTATTCAAACCTGTGTTGTTCAAGGGTCAACTGCATATTACTGGCTTGGCCCCTGAAGGCATGTGAGTTTGTCCCCTAGCCTGAAGGGCAGTCAGGAAAGCAGGACCCCACTCTGGTCCTCAGCTGCCGACATCAGTCTGGGATCCTCAGTTTGGCTGGTTTCAGTGAAGTCTGACCAGGTGGCCTGGCCACAGAGGTATTCGGTTCTCACTGCCTTTCCACCTGCCCCTCTCTCAATCATCTTCCATGCATAGACAGACCAGCCTCAATGGGCACTGACCTCATGACTCTGGCTGCAAATATCTGGCCCCTGGTTCATGGCCGAGGCTCCCATAGAGGGACAACTCTGCAGGGGATGGTGTTTGGAGTCAGGCCTCCTTGGAGACAAGACCTTACTCGGCTGTATACTTAGTTTCTGTGTTTGCTGTTCTTTTTCAGCTAACATTTTCTGAGTTCTTATTAAGTACTCAAATTTACATTATCTGATTTAATTCTCAGAAAAATCCTATCATTATTATCATTCCAGAGATGAGAACATTGAGGCGTAGAGAAATTAAATCACTTGTCAAAGGTCATAAAGCTAGCAAGTAATAGAGCCAAATTCACAATTCATGGGATTTGAATCAATTCAATTCAGGATTCTAACCCAAAGCCTTGCTCTAAGCCAGTCCTGTCCTCCCATTAGCCCTTGGCCGGAGAAGGGTGATGCCAACAACCCCCAGTCTCGAGATTCTTGTGAGAATCAAATGAGATAACATTGGGGAAAGCATTTTGAGACTATAGAATTCTGGCCAAAATATTAGTCACTATTTTTCTTTGAATTGGATACCCATAAATGTAGCTGGAGAGCTCTCCCCCACTGGTTGATTAGAATCAGTTTTCACTGTTGGCCATGCATTCCTTTGGCAGAAGTTCTCCAAGTGACCACCTGCATCAGGGTCATCGGGCGTGCTTGCTAAACTTGCAAATTCCTAACCTTCAGGCCAGGCCTCCTGGCTCAGAATCTCTGGGGTGTGCCCTGTGACTGTCTGCCCCCAGATGATACTGTGGCTCACTGAAGACTGAGAAGCACCAGGCTGGGTCACTTGAAATGTGACTGCCCCCTCCAAAGGTGGCCAAGTTAAGGTTTTAGGACTTAGGTCTTTGTGGCCCAGGTTTGTGGAGATTTCAAGATTTCTCAATTGTGAAATCGCCAAAATACACAGTGAGGCTTCATGCAAACAGAATTTCCATTTGTTCAGAAGTCTTTTTAAGGCCACAGTTCCATGACTTCACTGCAATGGACCAGCCCAAAATAACGGCACGAGTTACATTTGGGTTCTACTATAATCCCACGACGGGTCTTCACTGTGAGCATGACCTCAGCACCAGCCCAGAAGGCACACCAGTGAACATCTGTGGCTAAACATCTCAGGCAGGCCCCTCCCAGGGTTTCCACTGGGATCCCAGTGAGAATGAGTTCATTCGGGCTAAGGCTTAAGGAGGGTGGGGGTTAAGGTGGGGAACCCGTAGGGACAGGGCATCTACGCAGACCCCCTCCAAGGGCTAACTAAGGCTGGAAGGAGTGGAGTAGAGGACCAGGTGGGGACCACTGGGGATACTGACAGTGGAGAGGGTAATGCTGAAAGGAGAGAGCCAGGCTTTGGGACAGCTGCACCTGGACCTGCTTCAGCCCCACCATAGACCATGAGTTCCTTGAGGCCAGGGACCATGTCTACTTTGCTCACCAGTGGATCCACAGGGCCTAGCCCCCAGATATGTGTTTCATGAATGACTCCCGGGAGAGAAGATCATCGGTACCTGTCCCACCAGTGGCGTGGAGCATTTTCAAGTGATCCACTGTCATCTGCAGGACCTCGGCCTTCTCCAGCTTGGAGGAGCCCTGCGTGTACAGAAGACAGAAGAGTGAAGGCCTCCAGCTGACCTCTCGCTCCCCTCCCTATGGTGTCATCAGCCCTCACCGGCTCCCTGTCCCCATCTTCTTCCCACTCCACCATGGCCTGCGGGGGGGCTTCTGCTTCGGCCAACGTTTCCCAAACGAACAGATTCTCTTCAGTTCCCATTTTAGTCCGTGCGCGCCCGCTGCATTGCCGAGCATCCTTCCCGAAACCCCTCCTTCCCTTGACTGCCGTGACACCACTTTTTCTAGCTTCTTCTTCCACCTTACTCTGCCTGTTCCCTTAAAATGGGGCTGTTTCCCAGTGGGCACTGGCTCCCTTTTCTCACTTGGCACATTGTACCTGGCAGGTCTCATCGACCTCCATGGCTTAGCGCACCATCCCCAGAATGCCACTCCCGCGGACCCACCTGCCTCCTAGACCAGCTTCCCTGGGAATCCAACTTCACGCTCACCACGCCCCAGATCTAGCTCATCCTCTTAGCCCCACAGCACTTGCTCTTTTTCTATTCTCTCTCTTGAGCAATGCTTGCTACGCCTATAGCATCACCTGGTCTCCCAGGAGAAACCTGAGGGTCAGACTCTCCCCGTGAGCTCCTGAGGGCAGGTACCAGGTCTAGGTCACAGCTGGGCCTGTGGAAGCGTCAGTGGATGTCTGTGGAATGACCGACTTGTTCTCACCAGCATAAAGGAAGGCACATGACCCATGACCGTGCATTGGAGCACAGGGTGGAGAATCTTTGAGACTGTCTGATTGATTCACCGTCCGACTCTCTTCCCACTGTCACCTGCTCCCCACCCCCATGGGCAGCGGCAGGGTGTTCACACCCCAGCAGCCTGTTCTGCTTTCAAACGGCTCTGGAACTGTCAGCAGTGCAGAGGGCGAGGGGGCTCTAGACTCACACAGTTCTGTGGTCTGGTTCTGTTCTGCGACTTCCTAGCTGTGCGATCGAGTGCAAGGTACTTCACCTCTCTGTGCCTCAGTTTCCTTACCTGTGCAACGGGCATAATCATCCCTAACATTCAGGATCATTTTAAGGATTTCTGTCAAGGGGATGAGGGACAGAAAGCCACAACGCTGGAGACACCAGAGTAAATATAAATTTCCATGCCCTTTCTCCCTGGCAGATATCAGGAGGTGACAGGTGCCAGCACTTCAAGCAGCTGCTACCAATCAATACGACATACCACGAAGAATGGGCCGTATCTGCCACCTGCGTGGGGTTTCCTCTGGTACCATCAGGAATATCACATACCTGTTTCTCAAAGGCGGTGGGGACCAAGCGTCGCAACTCAGAAAGGCTGCTGTTGATGCGGTCTCGGCGCCGCTTCTCTATGATCTAAAACACAATGACAGGAATTTACTCGTGGGCACTTCGCCAGTTTCCAACGTGCTTTGAGGGACATGGATTCATATCTTCCTTCACAATATTTTTGTGAGGGAGAGAAATCTGTTCTTACTTAATGGAGGAGGAAATCGAGGCTCAGAGAGGGGCAATGACTTGCTTAAGGTCACACAGTAAAGAAGTGCAAAGCTGGGAGCGGAACTCCAATCTCTTGTCTTGGTCTGCAGGGGTGATGTTCAAAATGCAAAACGGCAGGTACAACAGGAGACCGGCCCATTAGAACAGGGACACCAGCCACAGCTCCTGCAGGCCAAGGTTACCCCTTCAGTTGCTGGGTGGTGAAGAGGCATTGCTTCCAGCTGGGGAGGCCTCTCATTCACACAACCTCATTCCCACCTCACCCTACTGGTAGCGGAATACTGATAGCAGGGCAGACATTATGACCCCTGTTTTACAGATAAAGATGAGGGCTGGAAGGAATGGTTTGCCTAAGTGAGGGGCAGGGCTGGTCTCTGCCACATTCCCGGTCTTTGGACCCCCAGGACAGAAGCACAGCTACATCCTGGGGACAAAGGGCAGGGGGCTGGCATGAGGCAGCAGAGAGCCAGCCAGGGAGCCTCCTTCTTCTGTTCCCCTCCCCCACCCCTCAGCACCCTGAGAGGAAATGAAAGTTCTGGGCTTGGAGAGAAGAGGGGGAAGGCTGGAATAAACAGTAAGGGCTAACTGTGAGTCAGGTGTTGTCCTGAGTGTAATTCATTTAACCTCCAAAACCGCCCTGTAAGGTACGCACCCTCATTGGTTCGGTTACACAGTTGAAGAAATGAGGCACAGAGAGGTTAAGTGGCTTGCCCAAAGTCTAGATCGCACCCGGGGGGGTGATGTTTCTGACCAGGGTTCTCCGGGCCAGGCCCCTGGGGACTCAGGGCAAAGATTCGACGGGCAACTCTGCCGAGACAGACACTCACCCCTCTGCGTTTCTTCCTGGCTTGCATCTGCGAAGGGCTGGGGGTGGACAGCGGCCTGGCCATCTGGCTGCAGGAGAAGAGAAAGGCTGATTTTTCAGAGCTGGGGGACCATCTCCCTGGCCTCGCCTGACCTTGGAGGAGGTGGGGATGTGGGCGGGCACCGCCCCCTCCCAGGAGGGCCGTGGTCTCCCCGGCGGCAGAGGACTCCCAGGCCGGGAAGCGGCGCAGGGCAGGCGTGGGTGGGAGCCCATCGCTCGCCCCCCCCACCCCACCCCGCCAAGTCGCCCCTGCGCTCGGTTTCCTGCCCCAG